TTCCAAGATAATGTAGTCACTTTCCCCAATATTCCCGTCACCTCCGTGCCACCAGCCAGTTCTGAGACTTGAGTAATTCTCCCCCAGGGAGAGGAAATGTAAATGACTAATTATAAAAGGCAACGGTTCTTTCCCACTCAGACGCTGTCCTGTTAAGTAATGAATCTAAGAGCGCGGTAGCGTGACTTCAGGGCAGGCAAACATGGCAGCCGTAATTCACGAAGCAACAGCTCACTGGCAGCCCTGGCAGGAGTGCTCTTAGTGAGAGGGAAGACTAGCCAAAGCCGGGCGCAATCCCCTAAAGGCTCGGGAGGCCTCCCCTGGCCTGGGACTGGGACTGGACTCTGGCTTTCCCCCCAGGGGAGGGAGGGGCGAGGGCTCCAGGGCAGAAAGCCACGTCTGAAACCTGTCCTCCCAAGGCCCCGACGCCCATGCCCCGCTATAATGTGGTCTTTTGTAAAGAGACAGTCCCCAGGCCAGAAGTGGCTCAGATGGAGTCCGAGACCACACCGCAATCACCCCCAAAAGGGAGTGGCTCCTGGGTGCACTGCTGGTGTGGTCGTTTCTGTAACTGTCCCCCGCACGCCGGAAAACAATCCTCTTTAGGTGCTGGAGATGGGGTCTGGAGGGGGCCAGTGGCCCGAACGCACTAACTCGATGGCACAGAGATCTCGTCACATCACCGATTATCGTCGGCGTGACCTACTGGTGGCCCAGAGGCAGGAACGCCGCAGCCAGACTGCGCGGGTCTGAACCCCAGCTCAGCAATCTCCCCGTCCCATCCCGTCCCGGGAAGCTTACGGCCGTGCCAGCGGGGGAACCGAGGCAACGCCAGCTGATGCGCTCAGCGAACTTGAACGGCGTCTGGCAGGGCCAGCGTCGGCGAGGGATCCCCCCGGACATCAGCCTCGCTCTCCTCCCCACGCCGCCTGCACCCGCGAGTGCCCCCGCGTGCACACACGTCCGTTATGAATCATCCACTTATCACTAGGCAGGGACACTCGGTCCCAAATCACGCTCTTTGCCTTGCGACCTACTGCGTCTAGAGCGACACGGGAGCCGCACGGCCACGGGGCTGTGACTGTGGTCAGCGTTTACCTGCTGCGCTTGTCCCGCCCCTTCCTTCCGTGGCGTTTTGCGCTCTCGTGTTTTAGGCGAGAGCCCGAGAAGCGGCAGTGGGCGGGTTGTTTTAAAATCCACTCTGGCTCGACGGAGATTTTCCCTCAGAGCGCCAAACCTCCTGTCCGCTCTCCCCAGGCCTCTGTGCGTCGCGGGCGTTTGCCATCTGACTGTCCACGTGTTTTGGTTGGAGGTCGCTGGCCCTTCCTGCGAGATTTTCTCTTCTCTGTGTGATGTCTTCATTCCTCGTTCGAGACTTATTTTGTTTATTGAACGTAAGTAACAGCGTGTTCACTAAGTGCTGTGACGTTCTTGGCCACAACTGTTGTAAGTGTCGCTTCCCCCAGCGCATCTTCGCTGTCTGGACCTATTTTTTAATTCTCTCACATCCTAACGTCGCTTTCCTAGTTTTTCTCTCTCTCTGTGCTGCCTACTCAGGAATTTTCTCCTTCTGTTTGAACTAATTCTCTCTTCTGCTGCGTCTAATGAGTTTTAAATTTCAGCAACTGTAATTGTGGTTGCTACAGGCCTGGTGGGTTCCTTTTCAAAATCTGCAGGCTCTTTTTTCAGAGTCTTGTTCTTCGTCTTCAACTTACTCTCCTTTATCCGTAAGCATCCGAACGGTCTGGGGTTCCTTTCATGTCACTGTCCCGGGATCTCGGGTCCCTGGGGTGCAGCCACCCCCGCCCCCCCGCCAGGGTGCCAGCTGCTGTTTACCCCTGGCACACGTGTCTCCATTTTGCCGTCCGGTGGCTGTGATCTCGTCTTTGGGGGCCATGCTGTGACAGCTTCCCTCCTGGGCAGCGGCCCTCCACGGTGGCCAGCCCACTGCTGGGTCCCTGAGACCCTTTCGAGCGATGTGAGAGCAAAGCTGCTTTCATGCGAAGACGAGACGTCGTTCGCCTTTGTCGCTGTGTTGGCATTTGCACTGATGGCATATACGAGTGGTGGTGCGTCACAGTCCTGGAGCTGGCCTGGGTCAAGGCGGTGCCACCAACCTATTTTCTTAATTCCAGACACGGTTAAAAAAAAAATAAAGGCAATTTCACTTAAGGACATATTTGATGATGCAGGACAAGCTCTTAACATTATGATTAATATCATGTCAAACCTCACGCTCGGGTAAATGCCTTTCCAGTGTTCTGTGTGCCGAAATGGGAAGGACACATGAGATGTGTCCCCCGAAATGGAGATGTCTTCGAGAAAAGCTCTTGGTGCAACTGTTGGAGCTGTGAGCTGAATTAGGTCCATTTTTCAGGAAACCTCATCTGTACTTGAGAGAATTACTAAAGGGCAAACCGGGTAATGAAAGCTGAGTGCTGTGACCCGCTACCAGTCACGAGAAGTCCCACCGTTCCTCGTGAGGTCACCATCTCGGCCCAGTGACTCTGACTTCCTGAAGCCTCTCCGCAAAGCCATGGGCTGTTAGCTCAACGTGACAAGTAAACCCGAACTGCGTAAAAAGCAGAGAAGAACTGGCGAAGGCCAGGCTGAGGGTCTGCACTTACCGAAACCCAGCGCGAGTTTCTTCGCAGGGCAGGGATGTGCTGAAAAGGGCGCTGAGGAGGGCAGTTCCAGCAGCCCTGAGAGACGGGGGACAGGGGTGCGACAGGGCCGAGGAAACGAGCTGAGACGCAGGCAGCCAACAGTCAGGGCGGAGGCACCGAGGTGCCAAAGAAGTGGACATCCTGGTCTGTTTTTCCTCTGGACTTCCACTCGGTTCCTATCCTCACATCATCCGACTTAAAATGGCAGTAGTACTTGCATACGCTAAAATGTCCCCAGAGGAGTTCGTCTGGGCTCACTGGGATGGCCCGACCTACGAGAATGACAGCAGGTCTCCCCAGCTCCCCCGACGTGGTAACTGGTAACCCCCAACGCCTGCTCACGTCAGGGTCTGGTGGGATCGATCACAGCCACGGAGGAGGAAGACGGATGGCTGCCCTGTCCTGCTGCGCTGCAAACACGTGTACCGCAGAAGCATCGTGCCTTATGTGTCAGCCTGGGCAAGAAACCATTCCGTCAGACGACAGACCTCAGGTGAAAAATGGAAAGCCAGCATCGATTTCATTGTGCCGCTGATTCTGTTTACAAATAGAAGCCGGATAATCTTGTATTTAAATGGCAGAAGTTCCATCACTCATGATCAGAGAAGTGACATTTGAAATTTATAAAGTTTCACAATGCTCAATTCCTTTTCTCGGGGGAAAAAAGTCTTAGCGTTTGTGGAGAAAGACTGGAAAACATGGAAATATTTACGAAGCAGGGAAATGATAAATGGCGTGTGGGTGGAAACCTATCTGTGGCAGGCACACTTCCCTCCGAAGCACAGAAAGCCGGGAGGCGGCAGCCAGCCTCCAGACACAGGGCTGCAGGTCTCCGGCCACGGGGAGGGCTCCTCCCTCCTCTGTCAAATCCTAAATTATCTAGGGCAACGTGAACTCACACGGCTTCTTTCGACAGCTAGCTCATTTACTCAGATTAAACCGCAGGGCCTCACATCTTGAGACCATATCTTATAAAAACCTTACTCTGACCATTTCAGATCTAACAGCTTCGCTGAGTCCTGTCCGAGGAGAGGCACCAGCAAAGGCCACTATGTCGACGGCTCAGGAAAAGCCAGACTCCCATGGGAAACTCAGATGACAAGCGACCCCATCACAGCTCCTCTCCTCTCAGGTGGAAGGGCCCCTCTTTGACCTGGGACAAAAGGGACCTCGGTAGAACACGGACCTTGCCCTGTGGTGGCCATCCCTGCAAAGGACTTGCTTCAGCTGAGTGACCGGAATGAAGCCTGGACATGTGGTCCCTCAGCAACTTCCACAGACCAAAACTCTGCTCCGGGCTTTTCCCGCCTGTCAGCAAAGGTGATCGTCCCTCCTCCAAGTCTCACTTCATCCCATGTACGGGTCCCTGGGGCACATGTCTCATGGCTTGTAATGCCACCCTTACGTGTCTACCCTCCATCCCAGGCTTGCTCCTCAGGGAGGCCTCCCCCCTTACTTCCCTGTCCTGCCCCGGTGCAGAGCGCAGCGCCCAGCACACAGCGGGCGGAAGGCAGCATGAAGCAGGGAGCACCCAGCGCACAGGGGGCGGAGCCCAGCGTGCAGAAGGCAGAACCCAGAGCAAAGCGAGCGGAACCCAGCACCAACAGGGCAGTGCCCCGCACACAGCAGGTGGCATCCAGCAAGCACACAGCAGGCGAAGCCCACCGTGCAGGGGGCGGGGCCCAGTGAACAGGGCGGGGCCAGCGAACAAGGGGCGGGGCCCAGCGTGCAGCGGACATCTGGGAAAGGCACGCAGGCATGAAGGAGCCCAGGGCAGCCGTGGTCCACATGAGGGCCGTCTAGAGGCTCCAGTCCTCGTTCCTGCTCTGTACCTGCCGACAGCGTCCTTCCCAGGCACAGAGGATTCATCCCCCGCACTGTTTCCACGAGATCACCCCTGGTACTGGGACACCTGTGACTTTTCTGCGACAATCCCAGCAATCAGCCCCAGATGACCAGAAAGCCAGCAGAGCCCCAACCACAGAGAGCGGCCTCCCTCCGTCCTGCCTCCCCCTGCGGCTAGGCACAGTGGGGTTAATGGAAAGCTCAGATCCCTGGCCACCCAGCCCTACCGGTCACAGGTGAGATGACAGCACACACTTGGTGCCAGCAGCACTCGGAGTCGCAGGCGACAGAGCTGGGAGGTGGGAACCGGTGGCACCAGACCCTGGTGGGCTTAGCCCCGCTCCCCTGGCACCCGGCACCCTGCACCGCGCCCCCCAGTCACACGACACTCCTTGCACCGGGCACCCTGGGGGTGTGGGCTGTCCTAGCAGCAGGCCAAGGGGTCAGGCCCCTCCGCCCCGCCCCCCCACCACCCCCACGCGCACTCACCTGGATGCCGTCCAGCAGCCTGCTCACGCACCAGTACGTGTCGGCCTCCACGCTGCGCAGCGCGTCTGCGGGCACACGGGACACGTCGGCGGCGTCCGCGTCGTCCTCCTCTGCACGGGGCGTGGGAGACACAGGGAGCGGTCAGCCAGGCACGCGCCACGGCCAGGGACAGACACATGTTCCCATTTCCTGTTCTCACCACCAGACGATTGTCTCCTACCTCATCACTTAATGATTCTCAATCTTAACACCTAATTAGTTGCAGGTAATTAATAGTCTGAATGCTCTCCGATTAATTAACATAATTAATATATTGTAAATGATGGCTTGTCGGGCATTTCACATTCTAATAAGAGAGAACCTAAATGTATTACTTATTCCTGACAGAGATCTGAAAGTTTTCTCAACCTTTTTTAAATCCCACTCCAAAGATATTTACATATGCATTAGCAGTAATTCCCTCTAAAAACCAGTTTCCAAGGTCAGAGGCTCCAAAACCAATGCTCTGAGCAAAGGCCCAAGAAACACAGCCGTGCTCAGAGAGAGAACAGGCTACAGGCCCACATAATCTCCACGTATAAAAACCTAATGAGGAAACAACTTAAAAGTTTTAGAATGCAAAGCAGATGCCTAACCGAAATGGCTTATCAAACTTCTGAACTAATTTTAGATCCTTACAAAAACTGCTGTCATCCAGCAAGACACTCGTGTTTAAAAAATTGTGTATCCTATTTTTTATTTTATTTACTTTTGTTTGATTTTGCAAATGTGCATAGCATCTTTGCAAAGAAAATGTTCTTTAAGAAAGGAAACATTCGGCCCAGAATATATTTAGAGAGTTTTAAGTGGGTAAAAATGACAGTAATTACAATAATTGCTAACGTTTATTGAACGGTTACTATGGGGTAGGCGCTCTTCTGCATGTTTTAATGTATTAACTCGTTTAACCGCTGGCACAACTCTTTTGTCACCACCACTGTGCCCCCTGGAAAGTGGGGTGCCGAGAAACAACAGCGACAGCCCAGCTGCGGTCGCTGGGTCAGGGTGTGGACCCACCACCTGGCCCAGAGCCCACGTTCTTGGCTGCTCCCCACAGAGCGCAGCCCCGGGCAGTCGGAGGCACAGGTGACACGTGACACTCGTGCGCGCTTCACAGTGGTCGTCCCACTCATTTCGTTTCCTAGGTGGTGCTGACTCCTCGCCTGCGTCACGCTGAGGTGGGGCCGAGGAGCTGCCACCATCACGCTCCCCGAAGGCTTCGTTCGCAGCAGAGAGCAGGGAGGTGAACGGGGAAGGAGGCTCGTGTGTGGGCTTCGCAACGAGGCCACCGCCCTGGACACACCGTGCAGGGCACAGCCTCCCACAGACTCCCACCAATTTGACGAAGTCACCCGTCCTCGTTCCTCTGCTGGGACTCATGGAGCACACCTGTGTGTGCATGTGGCCATAAACTGCACTCTTGAAGGCATGAACGTTAAGGTGTCAGAGTCACCTGATGTTGGGGTGGGGCGGCGGGAAGCAGGGTGGGGGCTGCTGCTCAGACCCAGGCTGTGTGCTCACCAGCCAGGACCCTGCCGGGCAGGCCCGACGCGGAGCCAGGTGGCAGGTGTCGCCTCCGCCAGATCATGGACATGGACACTAAGCCTCCCAAGAGCTCACTACCACGTGCTGCAAGGCCCGCCCCGGCACCAGGCCCCGTCTGCCCGCCATGATGCCTTTCCAGCTGCAAGATCAAGAGCAGACACAGTATAACTGGCCTCCTCACAGCAGCGTCCACCTCGCTGGGAAAACAGCGTCTCCAGAATCGACTCCACACCCCGGCAACCGAAAACAGCTCGGATTCTATTTTCCAGCCCAGGGGCTGAGCCGATGGCAGTGACGGAGGGCTCCTTCTGAGACGCCCTCCATCCACGTAGCCTCTCCCTCAAGGGCCTTCAAAGCACGGAGATACCGCTTCAGCCATGATAAAAGGTAAACAGCGAAGTAGAGTCGTCGCGGCCTCGAGGCCCCTCCTTGTGGACAGAAGCGGCTGGGCCGCCACCGCCGGGCCCACGGAAAGCGAGCTGCTAGCTGAGGCGGCCCGGAGCCTCTCGGTGGTTTCGCTTCATCTGTGTAGCTGGCTGATTATTTTATCCAAGGAAATGTGGGCGGCCAATTCTAAGTGTCATTTCTCACGACAGGCCATTTGTTACTCTTCTCTGCTAAGAAGTGATGGCATTTAACTCAGGGCCCCCCATGCCCATTTGTCTTGGTAAAGCTGAGATGCAGAATGACCCTGACTGTCAGAATGAGAAAAAGACCCAGCCTGCCGGGGGAAGCGCCCACCGACACGGGCGCAGGCAGAGAGTGCACGGAACTCTCTGGAATTCACAGAGCCAGAGCCAAGGAAACAGGCCCCAGGAGCAGAAAACACCCCAGCGGGCGGGGCTGGCCCTCAAAGGTGGGGGAGTGGTCACAGGAGATGGGGCGCCGGCGGTTCCCAGGGGCACAGCCTGATGAAATGAGCAAAATCGGCAGGCTGAGCACAGGCGCCCCCGGCTGCATGCTCACCTGCTAAACCATCTGCCACCGAGCCCCGAGACGCGACGCTGTGGGGTGGGGAGGGGTCCTCGGCGTCGCCCCTAACACGGCCAACAGTGTGACTGAATTTAACCAGTGACCAGGAGCCTCCCGAGGCACACACTTCCCACCAGGGCAAGCTGCCCCCTGCGTGCCATGGGGGGGCGGGGCGGGGGGGACCCGGGAAAGCACCAGGCCTGAGAATCCTGGTGTTGGATGTCAACGGCCGTGGACTTAGCTCCCTACGCACAGGCCAAGTGGCAGAGGACAGGCCAGGGCTGCCATCCTCTGGGAAGAGAGACAGCTTGGCTGGGGTCACAGGTGAGAGGGAACCACAGAGGTGAGGAACTCCAGGAACTCCTGGTCCAGAGGGAAAAATGGTAAATTCGCAGGTAAGGAGAGAACAGGCAGACCTCACTGTCAATCAACAGAGGGCGGGGCCCGAGGTCAATGCTGTAATGGCGTGGCCTGGAGCAGGGGCTCTCAGGTGCTGCCCCTCTGGACCACGGAGACCTGGACTTAGCTATGTCTCACCCAAGCCAGGAAGACCCTCCACACACCGCCTCCAGGCAGCCAGCTGCGACAGGAAGTGGATGCCATGCAGGCACCCCTGGACTGTACCCCGGTACCCAGCCTCCTCCGAGCCAGGCAGGACCTGACCGGGCCCCAGGACCCAGCACAGGGAGGGCTACCAGGAGCTCTCTGAGGTGACACTGTGACTAACTATATCACTGAAAATAATGGAATTTAAACCACCTCATTTCATCTGAATTTGACTGGACTGCCTGACATCCAGCAGTCACAAACGGTCATGTTGCCAGGTGTAACCCTCACCCAACTTGGTCACCATGCCTTCTTTCAGGAGCCAGACCCTGTCCCTTGGGGACACCAGGTTGAGAAAGGCAAGAGCTCTGACCCAGAGAGGCCTCAGGGAGGCTGACGGGCACCCGGGCTGACCCACGGGGGAAGCGGAATGGCACCGCCATGGCCCAGGTGAGCAGAGCCAAGTGGCCCACAGTGGAATATGAGGGCACAAGATGTAAAAACAGACATTTAATTTACAATAATCTCACCTGCTTCTTAGATCATGGAAAGGTTTAGGGGATAATTTAAATAAATGCTGTCCTATCATAGTATTGTGAAAAAACAGTATGTAAAATAATCCCATCTTTATCAACAAGTCCATTCACATCCAAAACCCACGACTGCATGTCTGTGCAGACATACAGCCAGCACGTCCAGTGTGGGTTCTGACCACTCCACCAGACTGGGGGGGTGGGGGTGGGTGCGTGGATAGGTAGGTAGGTAGATAGGTGGGTAGATGTGTGGATGAATGGATGAATAGGCAGGAAGATGGTTGGATGAGTAGGTAGGTGGTGAGTGGGTGGGTGGGGGGTGCATAGGTAGGTGGATACGTGGATGGGTGAGAGGGTGGATGGATGGGTGGATAGAGGGATGAGTGGGTGGTTGGATGAGTAGGTAGGTGGTGAGTGGGTGGGTGGGGGGTGCATAGGTAGGTGGATACGTGGATGGGTGAGAGGGTGGATGGATGGGTGAATAGATGGATGGGTAGGTGGTTGGATGTGCAGGTAGGAGGTGAGTGGGTGGGTGGATGGGTAGGTGGATGGTGAGTAGACAGGTGGATGGGTGGGCAGACAGGTGAGCAAATGTGTGGATGAATGGATGGGTAGGTAGGTAGATGGCTGGATGAGTAGGTAGGTGGTGGGTGGGTGGATACGTGGATGAGTGGGTAGGTGGATGGATGGGTGGATAGATGGATGGGTAGGTGGGTAGATAGGCAGATGGGTGGGTGGTTGGATGGTAGGTAGGTGGTGAGTGGGTGGGTGGGAGGGGAGTGCATGGGTGGACACAGGGAACTGATGGAAGAATGGGGGATATTCAGCCTGGTGAGGAGAGAGCTATGTGGGGACGTGCCTGCCCCTCGGAAATATCCGGAAAGCTGTCTCAGGTAAACGGGCAGCATACGTTTGCCAGCCCCGTTCCCATCTCCCGAATGCAGAAGCCAGTGGTAAAGCCACAGGTGGGCGGGCTCAAACCCAAGAGCACCGCGGTGACGAGGGCTGCACCCAGGGGCGCTAACCAGCAGCAGCAGCGACACCCGACACCGTCTACGTCGCTCCGAAACCCCAGCACGGCCTCTTGTGCGGGGCCCGTTCCATCGGAGAAGCCCGCCGGGGAAACACCCCACCAGCAGACGGGCCACAGCGGGCGCCGGGCCGGGACGTGGCAGAGCCAGGCTGCGAACCGGGCCAGCTCTCCACACAGTCTGTGCTCTCACATGGGTTTCGGGGCCACCAGAGACAGGTGGGGCACCAAGGCCTCTGACGGCAAGGACGGGGGACGACGAATGCGCGCTAATCCACCTGTGCAGAGCTTCGTACGTAAAACAACGATCCCTCAGTCACCAAACGTGGCCATGTGGCGAAACAGCCTGTCACCACGGCAACCGAGCTCCGGGTCTGAGGGGTCTCACTTCTCACAGGCTCCTCTGCCCTCAACCGCTCAGGCTGGGGTTGCCCTGGCAGTGGTC